CTCAGCAAGCACAAACTGCTTGATTCCCCACCTTGTGGGCTTGGCTGGAAGGTACTGCCGAAAAAATAGTCTCCCCTTGAATTTGACCATACTTTCATCCAAGGAAAGGTCACGTGCTGGCTGATACCACTTTCCATAAGTTGGGTTGACTATGTCCAACAAAGGTTGAATCTTGAATAAAGGATTGTAACCTTCTTCACCCCTGGCAATTTGGTTTTCAATATTGTTAAAATGCAGAAATGCTTGTAACAGTTCAAACCTGTGGCGTGACATCACAGATGAAAATGGCAGGGCTGTCAACCAAAATCCACTCCAATAATCAGCATGGGCTGGTTTCTGGCAAAGCCCCATTGCAATTTGCAAAGCGAAAAAGGCTTTTATTTCATTAGGAGATGTGTCTTTCCAGGCTCGAAAACGAGAACAAGGCTCAAAATCAGCAGGCGTATCTAAATACTGTTGTGCATACGTGTTTGTCTCCCTTGAAATCAGTTCAAAAGCTTCATTTGGGAAGAAGAGATAAAAAAAAGTCGACTGGGACATAATTAGATGCATCAACAAGTATTCCCGGCCATTTGTCAAAATTTTGAAGCCATGTGGACTCGAACAGATCAATATCCTCGTAAAATTCCCACTCTATTTCTCGCTCACGAGCGATACCACGTCTAGCTCCTCGTGCTCGCTGTAAATTTTCCTCGTCGGCTGACATGTCTGTGTCGAAATCATCAATGCTATTCTCCATTTCACCTTCGGAAGCCGATTCCATGTTGATTTCAGTGTCACTGGCGCTTTCGCTTTCTGAACCACTTGCTTCTTCTTCCATTTCAGAGTCACTGTCGCCAAAAATAGTATCCAAAGCCTCTTCAACAGTAAACCTTCGATTATACGCCATATTTAAATGCCCAAAGTTGTAAACAAATAAAAAATATGGATTTCTCGAGTCAAATATGAGCTAAATTTGCTTCGTTTCGAGTCGAAAATGAAACCAGCACGTGTTTTGATTAACCTGATCTAAGAAGCTATTTCATTGGTTAGTTAGAACAGGGACTATGATTCGTTCATTTTAATGCTATTGTTTGGGCGACTAAAGTCGCCCATGGCGGTCTATAGGTAAGGCGACTAAAGTCGCCCATGGCAGTGAAAGGGTTAAGGTTGTCATTAATCGTAGCAACGTTATCACTAATTTCAAAAAGCTGATTGTCATCAGCATACATACTTAGATTCCGTTCAATTTCATAGACTAAGTCATTTTGAAAAATATTCCACAGCAACGGTCCCAAAGCTGACCCCTGGGGGCAACCTCAGTTAACCTGTTTCCAGGAACTTTTTCGAGATGCAAGCTTCACTCTGTTAGAGCGCCCACATAAATAGGAGCGCAACAAATTGATAAAATTTTCTTCAAAACCATATGCTCTTAGTTTACTCAGCAGCAGAGCTGGATGCATAGAATCGAAGGCCTTTGACTTATCTGTTGATAAGGTTCCTACTAGGTGCTTATTGTCCCTAGCATGTCTCCAGTTCTCGATAAGATTAATGAGAGTAGTCTCACAGCTGTGAGTCTTCCAATAGGCCGACAGGGCTTGCCCAAGACGGTAATCAAACATCCCCACAAGTTGCTTAGCTACAATCTGCTCAAAGGCCATATCTGTAGCCGGGAGAACAGTGACAGGTCTATAGTTAACCTTTACTAGGGGGGGTCATCACTTTTAAAGACTGGAACCCATTCCCCCTTTTTTCATGACTGTGGCCATTTACTCTCCATTATGCATCTGTTAAATAACGTAGTGAGAGGAATAGCAATTGCCTCTGCGCCAACTTTTAAAGCAAACGGAGGAATGGAGTCACAGCCAGATGCTTTCTTGACTTTTAAGGACTGCATTGCTTCTTGAACTTGCACTTTGTGAAGGGGGTTTAGTTTTATAGCATCACGTTGAGTCGAGCACTGTGCTATTTTTAAGACCCTTGGATGGTTGTTGAAATCACTTTCCGTTAATTTTCAATATTATCTCCACCGATGCCATCTGCAATTGAAGCAAAATAATTGGCTAGGGTTTCAGCTACCTTGTCTGGATTCTTGACAATTTCATTTCCAACTTTGATATTAAACTCGGTGCTTCTTGCCCGGGCATTCGAGCCTAGAAATGGCATAAAAGTTCTGTAAAAGTCTGCTGGCTTTTCCTTGAGATGGTCAGATTTACTCTTCCAATAAGACTTGATTGCTATTCTCCTTTGTCGCGTGGCTTCATTACGTTGGAATCAGATTTGTCATTTTGATAGGTTGCTAATGCCCTCCTCTTTGTCCTCATATAAGGTACATCTTTAGCTCTTACCCTCATCTTTTTCAATGGAAGATTCTCATCAATAATGTTAGCCATCAAAGTGTTCCAATAATACACGTGATCTTCCAAATCGTCGAACACTTCTCCCACATGACAAGGAACTTCAGAAAGGTCCTGGGTAAACTTTTCATCATCAAAGTTTTTGTAGCTTCTAAAAGTAATCACTTTGTTTGGGTGTCGTTGAAGTTTTTCCTTGAAAATCCCATAAATAAGGGCATAGTCGCTGAGTGATGGGTAGTAAACACCACCGCACTTAAATCGCTCTGATTTATTTGTCAACAACACATCAATGAGGGTAGAGGTGTGAGATAGACCTTTCTTCTCCGTGCGTGTTGGTTTATCAATAAGACATGTGGGTTCTTGTTCCACTTCCAAATCTAAGAGTAATTTCCCTTCACTTTTATCTGGTCTAAGTCTATCAAGATTAATATCGCCAATGACATTGACAAAGTTTCTTCGTAAAGAGGCCCAGGTGCATATACCATTAAGTTCCCCTTCCAGTTGTAGTTGATAATCACCAGATACCGATTTAGGTGGACGGTAGATGCCAATAATGATCATTTCAAATGTGCCAAGCCTAATCTCAACTGCGAGGGATTCCAGTGTCTTATAGGTCCTGGTAATCTTAAGCCTTCTAGAAGGCAGTAGTGTGGATATATAAACCAGGATGCCTCCACCTCCTTTTTTTCTGTCATTACGGTATAAGGTATAGCCAGGAATGGCAAATTGGCTATGAGCATATGTGGAATCAATTTTTGTTTTGCTGATAAATATTATATGAATTTTTAGTTTCCTGATTAAAGCGACAAGCTCCTCAAATTTGTTTTGTATGCTGTTTATATTCAGGTGACATAACAGGATATCATTACAGATATTCCTTTGATTCTCCAGTTGATCGTTATGCCACAGAGTGGGGGTGACACTTGAATCATTATGAGCAGGTGTTGAAATCTGAACCGTATACGAAGAGAACAAAGACTCGAAAAACGAGTCGGAGAAATCAAAAGGCCAGTTACAATTGTTGGCTTTACAAAACCATTGATCTTGAGAGTAACTCAGATCGACATAAGTCTCGACATCCATATCAATGCACTTAATGTGATGCCAACTGTCACAACCATTGCAAAGAATTCCCTTCTGATTACGACACTCTGGCTTATCGCAGACAGCACATGGAAACTTCCACACTGGTTTTTTACCATTGTCCGAAACAATTCGGTCAGGGCCAAGATATAGACTGATATTACCACTAGTAGCCAAACGATCTTGATTGAAAGTGGCAACAGAGTTCGGATAAAGGGTTATCCTAGTGGCATGATATCCTTTCACATATATTCCAAGATGGCGGACAAATTGAGGCATTGGTTCAAGGTCGTTTCGCTACAAAGTCGTTTTGCTGCAAGTTGTTTCGCTGCAAGTTGTTTCGCTGCAACACGAGTCGATTTGCCACACATCTAAGGTCGTTTCGCTTCAAACTCCATAAGCCCAAAAGTCGATTCGCTACACTTTCGCTACCTCATTTAAACTCAAGAAATTTTCGTGAATATTGTAGTGTTTTCTCCACAGCGCCTGTGTCCAGTGGAATACACAACCTTGGACCTCAACATCGGGCAGCAGTTCTCTTAGTACTGTCCAGATCGCCTTCTCAAAGTCGATTGTTACTTTTGCTAGGGCAGGTTGAGCAGGCAGGAAATGAAGGACAGCTTTTAATACCTTGGGTAGAAGCAGAAATAATACGAACAATTTATACAGTGAAGTGAACAAATGAAATTTCATTTGATTCAATTTTTCTGTAGTTCAAATGATATGAATTTTCATCTGTTCGCTTCACAATAAAACAATAAAAACAAGATATCCTGACGTTATCAAACTTTTGCCAATTACGTTAAAAGTTAGAACAGTTTTCAATCGAATTAATAAAGATTTATAAAGATACCCCTACGTTCTCAAATCTTTAATTGAGTTGTAGTGGAACTCACCTTACGATATTCCTTTTTCTTTTTGCCTGACATGAGCACAAAGACCAGCGGGACCTGCTTGGCGTGATCGTCTTTCCTGACGAAGGCATTAATCGTCAGGAGCTGTTTGAATGGGTGGTGGACCAGTTTGAAGGTGCTGTCAATGTACCAAGTCTTTGCCTTGCTCAAGTGGAGAAGCTGGTCATTAGTAGCAAATATGATGTGGCGGCGGCTGTGGACGCTGAGATCTGCTTTCATAAAGGCATTGGGCAGATGGTTTTCCTCCAGGCTGAAGTCAAGTTCGGTTGGCTCTTTCGGCCGAAGGCGCTGGCAAAGTCGGTTGGCCTGTCTTACTATGAACTCCAGTTTAGGAAGGGCTGGACAAGGTGCGTCGGTCAGTTTTTCAAGAAGAACCTTAAACATAAAAAGATTTTTATTAATCCACACCATAAGTTGTAAGTAAGTTTTTTCTAAAGACACAGTAAAAACCCGCAAGTAAGAACCAATTTTTCTTTAAAAAAAAAGAAAAATAATTAACAATGCTGTAATTTGAAAGTTTACAGTGTAAGTTGTTGAAAAGCTTTGCACAGGCAGGTATGTAATAAAAATTCACCTAATTTTGTCTTAAGATGCATTAATGTTAGCTAGTATTACTGACCTCGTCAACAATGGCCGGTGCTGGTCTGAAGACATCCTCCACTGCCATGGCTTTTACTTTGGTGATGATTTTTGCCACAGTAGAGGCCCCCACCTGAGGCTGATGGTTGTGCAGGTTGCTGCCAGTTTGGAAATCATTGCGGCTGCGTTGTCTGACGGTGGCTCGACATGGGTTCATCTTTGGCCGGACGGTACACTGCCAGTCGGTGACGATCTCTCTCTGTCTGTGTTGGTTGTAAGTGTAGCCATGAGTATCGATCAGCTTGGGACGTCCCCGCTTCAAACACTGCTCCATTATTTCATATGTAACGTCGCTGAAGCTGAAGTCGGAACTGGTGTCAGCAGGATTCGGGTCGACCAGGGATGGCTCATCGGATTCTGGTTCCAGCTCTGGTTCTGGTTCGTAAAGGGTAGAGTCTTCATAGGTTCCTGCATCCAATTCGGTACATACAGCGCAACGCCAGTCAATGTTACCGCCATCCTGAACTGCTGCTCGGTACACAGCCTGGGTTATTCCTATTAAACGAGAAAAAAATTCTAAGGTAAAAATGCTTAATTAAAAGGTAAGTGGTAACCTGAAATATCAGGAATAAAAGTAACATACTAACATATGAAACATACCTGTGCATGTTCGATGATTCCAACGCAAACATCCGTTACATTGGATGCCCTGCTGCCTTGGACAAACAGTTTCGTTGCAAACAATACAGTTGACAATCTGTGCAGAAGTCATTGTAGGAGAAATTTGAAGAGACTCTTAGTAACTCGTAATAACTTGTGGTAACTCAAAGGTTGTGATGGAATGAATGAATGATCAATTTCGGGCTCTTGATTGTTTTATACAGGCAATAGGATCAAAATATCATCTTTTTGAGTTTAAAGCACTCCCATTGGTTTAAAAAAGTATGTTTCCTCATAGGTCCGTCGTACAAGAAAAATATGCTGTTTCGTTATAGGTCGGTTGCCCTACATTAGTTTTTTTTGTTTTTTTATTTATTTTTTTTTTGTATGTGTACGCTGTTGAGCCGACATTTTGGTTCTACATATGATAATAAATGAACGTAGTAAATTGAGTTATAGACTTGTTTGCATGATCTGACTGCGGAGGCTTGGGTACGTTCAGGCACTTCAGTTTCGTGTTCGAGATCAGTCATTGTGTTACTAATGTATTATCGACTATAAAAAGTTTTGTTTTCAAACTATAGGTGTATGTAGCGCATCGACTTTTTGGTTTCTGGAGTTTGAAGCGAAACGACCTAAGATGTGTAGCGAATCGACTCCATGTTGCAGCGAAACAACTTGTAGCAACTTGTAGCGAAACAACTTTGTAGCGAAACAACTTTGTAGCAAAACAACCGGCTACTACGGCTACGGCCCCAAAGCGAGAAAGAAACCAGTTCCACAGACTTGCTAGCATTTCCAAAACAACCCTCATCTACACTTAATCCAATCTGTTGGACATTTGATATAAAAACTCTGCTACTTGACAGAATATACAGCAACAAAATAAACGAAAATGTGGAACAACGAAAAACACGTCCGAGCGCCATCCCTACCGCTGACCTGTGATTTGACAACTTGAACATGTCAGTGTAGCAACAAACTAGTGATCTTTTAGAAAGACAAGTTTGATGTACAATCTTTTTAAAGATCGGAAAGTTTAATACATCTACCAAGTAGTAACCTTTCAAATTATTCTAATAGCAATTACCTAAGCGATGGAGAGTTTAGTATCGATAAGTGTCATAGCAACCGTGATGTAAACAAATGATTTCATGAAAGTTTCAAGAATTGAAAGTAATTCAAAGATTATACGCTAGCCGTTTGATAAGTAATCATACAAGCTTAAGATCAAAACAAATAAAGAAACCTAGATGTACTATAGCTTAAGTGAATGTAGGGAAGGGCTAAATTTCTACGAGTCTTGACCGAGTAACGAGTTAAAATATGCATGATTCCTTGGGTAACATGGCCGTGACATAGTCGAGATATGGATGTAATTGTTTATCAGAGTTTATCGATCTTATCAAAAATGCAAAGACAAGCAGTATTTTTTGTAAATAGGTCTTTTGTCCTTTTTAATAAAAAGTGAAACAGTTTGCATGTTTTTACTCTGACTTCAGAGGAGGGAGGACTAGTGACAATTACTTTCAAAATCAACATGTTCGTATGTTTGCAGTGGATGATGAACACAAATGAAGAACAAGCCGTGATGAGTTGTCTGTATGGTATATGTTGAGAGATTGGCCTAACCATGCCAAGTCAGCACTTTTGCAGCAAGGGAAGGCATGAGAGACAGAATTGAAGGATGCATCCTCCAGTTTAACTGTATCTTCATCTAGGTTTGCATACTTCACGTGCTATGCCTTGCCCCTGTCTTGCTGACGTTTCTCAGGCTTTGATGACTCCACAAACTCAAATGTTGGTGAATTGAGATTGGCATCATCATCACAAGCCACATCAGTGAGAGTAAAGAGAGATGAAGGCTTTGATGCTAAATACAATCTTGCCAAGCTCAGTTTGTGTTTTTCAATATACTTCTTGACAGTGGAGTCAACTGTGGTTTCTCCATCTTGAATAACTTCTTTGATAGGCTCTGCCTTAAAATTGGCCAGATAAAAAATAAATAGAGATTACTTCGTGGAAAATGCGTGCGTACAATTTTTATTCACGAGTTGTGTAGTATCAGAAAACTCACTCGTTCGCTGTGCTCACTCGTTCGTTTTCTGATACGTATCAATGAGTGAATGAAAATCGTACAAAGCTGTAATGCTTTGTACGATTTGACGATGCATGCTGTAATGTTTTTATTTCATAGGTGCTGAGATTTTTTTGTGTTGTCTTTGGTAGACAAATATCACAAATGGGGCGATGAAAAGTGAACAATATCTTTAACTCTTCGGTTGTTAAAGCTACCAATGCTTTCGGTTTATTCCCTTTTCCTTGCTTCTTTAGCTGCTTTTGCTTGGATTGAAGAACTTTTCTGGTTTTATCAAAGACCAAGTCATTGATTATGCTGGCAGAATAGCCCTTTTTCTTCAAATGTCGTTCGAAGCTGGCCATTAAACTTCGAAGCGAAGTCAGCTCGTACTCGTTGCCATCTTTAGTGCGTACGGAGATAATAAATTTGCTAATGAATTCATTCAACTCAGCCGCTGGAATATCTTCAATTTTCCTGTCTTCATCCTTTGTTTTCAAAAATCTTTCAAGCAATCTTACATCTCTTTCAGTTTTTTGAGCGGTATTTTTGTTTTCGTGTTCTAAAATGAATTCTTCAACTGAGTAAACAGAAGCGAACCTTCCCTCTGCCATTTTTCAAAGCATGCAGGTTTTGTGCAACGGCTCTCACATGACGTTCTCTTCAGTACGTTCATTCATCATTAGTGAAATTTCGTCATTCGCATTGCTGATTGGATGAACAAGAATTTTTCACGGTGAAATTTTGTTGTTCGTACTCCTGATTGGCTACATTTAGAATCAGTATGAATTTTTTTCACCACGATTTTTGTGGGTAAATCTCAGTACCTATGAAATAATTTCCTTTTCTTCTCTGTGGGTGGAAAGACCCCCTGGGAACAAGAGCTTTTGGGATTCTGCTATGAGGTCTTCTTTGGTAGAGTGACCTGATACATCAACCATTACATCATCAGTTACACTTTTATAAACTATTTCTCTTTTGTAGAAAAGTGCATCCAACCAAGAGTCTTTCTCTTCTTTACACTCTCTTTCATTACTGTATTCTGTGGTTCAGAGGTATTATTCCTGAAATGGCTATTACCACTAGCTGCCTTTGTTCTCCTAGATTTCAATTTGTCCCTGCCTATTTTGAGTTCTTCAACGAGTTTCCTCTTTCTCTCTTCATAATCATCTTCTATATTTTGATGCATTTTTGATTGGCACTGCAAAATGCTTTAACAGCAAAAATATCGCCTTTTGCTGTAAGTCCCAGATCTTGAAGACTTTCATCAGTGGCAAATATCACTGCCACCATGTCTATCTTAAAAATACAGATGAAGATTAGTTAAAAAGTTGCCCACAAGAAGAGCTCTACACGTCAAGTATACTACATACGTTTGAAAACCAGTTTCACTTCAATTTCGCTGTTTTGAGTGCAACTTGGTCTAAACGACTTTTTTCTCGCTAGAAACATTCTCCAAAGTTGAGGATATAAGAATTAACGATCTCACATATTTCCTTATAACAGGAGAGCTTTCATCAGAGTAGGCACCAAAAATTAGAAAGTTATCACAACTTGATGCCACCCTTTTACCAACATTGAGGAAACTAACCGAGAAAGAACATGCACTCTCATTTTTGCCAAATGGTCATCTGTCACCACCAAGAGGAATTTGAAAAGTGCCTGTTGATTCTGTAAAGTCTTTCAAGCTTTCTTTTATATTCCTAGAAAGATACCATTTGGCAAGCATTGGAAGGTGTTGTCTTAATTATCTATATGCACCATTCACTGGGTTTTCAGTTTCTATGGGTCAATTTCATGAACAATTCTACAAGGTTACTATAAGTGAGGAGCTTTGGGACCTTACAGCCTTTACAAATTGAAATGCTTGTTCTTTCCATGGTTTACTTTCATTTGATCCCATTGAAAGCACCAGTCTAACACTTTTGTACTTTTGTTCGCCCATTAAACCACTTGTATAATACGTTGCAATACTTTTTACAATGTTATCATGTGACTACTCTATTAGTCAACTGCTTGTTCCCTGTCACAAGGCTGCTGCCCGAGGAAAATGGGAGCCCAAGTCATATTTTCTGGGAGCTCACAATTATTTTCAGAAATTTACACCATGTTGTCTAAAACATATTTGTCAGACTGGAGAGGTGTTTTCCATTATATTTTGTTATTCATGTGCCTAACCTAATGAGTGCCATGCTCTTAGCCAGTGGAGGCAAAGTGAGTGACAGAGGCAGTTGGCATTCTTCACTCTACTGCCTTTTTGATCATATTCTGCTAGCCAAGAGTCTGACATGTATATCATATGATTATGTTATAGCTCACCTAAACACTCCCTTCATTTAGTCCCAAAAATA